TAATCTTAAAAACTAAAAATTGAAATGTTCCACCGTTCTTGTGTGTGTGTGTGTGTGTGTGTGTGTGTGTGTGTGTGTGTGTGTGTGTGTGTGTGTGTGTGTGTGTGTGTGTGTGTGTGTCGATATGGTTTATGGAATAAGTTACCACAGGAATTATTTCTCTTGCAGTTTATTTCGCGTCAAACCACAGATTAACTGAAGTGCCGCTTGAGGGAGAGACGATGGTGACGCTGTGTGGAAAAAGACACGTATGTACTCTACAGGACATGTATTAACGGAAACATTTCGCCACCAGTGGCTCCATCAGACCTAAACACTAGTGGCGAAACGTGTCCTTTAATAAATGTCCTGGGTTGTACGTAACATTTTGTGTATCTTGTCGGTATCATGGGCCCATTCACTTCCAGTTCAGCTGGTGTGGGAAGGAAGGTGGATGCTGGAGGGGTGGGGGGATGGCCTTAGACTGCTTAGAGGAATTGGTTACCTCGGGGTACGCTTGACCTGCAGGGCACGCTTGACCTGCAGGGCACGCTTGACCTGCAGGACACGCTTCACCTGCAAGGCACGCTTGACTTTCAGGACACCTCGCCTACACTTCGGTGCAGACACCACCACCACCCCCACATCCACCACCAACACACACCCACCTATTGCAACCATGTACTACAACGTACTGCTGTACGCTGCTAACATTACAGTGAAGGCCTGTATGAGAGTGTACTACCATGTACAAGAGTGCAGTACAATGTACTATAATGCATTGCAATGCACTACCGTGTAGTCTGGCTACTTGCAATTTCAACATCACCTTGCTTGACACCCGCACCGTAAGCAAGTTGGCGAACGGGGAGTGACTGCTACTCCCTCAGTCCACTCCCCTCACCCCTCGCCACAACCCCTCACCCCTTCACCTTACCCCCCACCTATCTCCCCCTTCCTTTCTTGCCTTCCCTCTTATCACACCCACCATTCTCTTAATTAATATTATCTTAACTCTCCCATTTTCTGGATCTGGTTTGGTAATAGCTTGTCGTGATGTGGAAGGAATCTCGAGGAAAGCACCGACAGTGCTATCTGCACCTCTACCTATCCTGGCTATTACATTGTTCATTTTCTTATTCGCTTCTTAGCGTCAGTTTTTTAACGTTCCCCGTGAACTTGGCTTCTGTTTTCTTTATCTTGGATTATGTTACATAAACGTTTGAAAGAGGTTAAACCACAAATAAGCAATTAGAAAAACTAACTCCACTCGCCTGACAGAGCAGTGACTTAGTGGTGCAAGTGCAGCAGTAGCTTAGTGATGCATGTTCAGCAGTGGCTTAGTGATGCATGTGCAGGAGTGGCTTAGTGATGCGTGTGCAGGAGTGGCTTAGTGATGCGTGTGCAGCAGTGGCTTAGTGATGCGTGTGCAGCAGTGGCTTAGTGATGCATGTTCAGCAGTGGCTTAGTGATGCATGTGCAGCAGTGGCTTAGTGATGCATGTGCAGCAGTAGCTTAGTGATGCATATGCAGCAGTGGCTTAGTGATGCACGTGCAGCAGTGGCTTAGTGATGCACGTACATTAGTGGCTTAGTGATGCACGTGCAGCAGTGGCTTAGTGATGCACGTGCAGCAGTGGCTTAGTGATGCACGTGCAGCAGCGGCTTAGTGATGCATGTGCAGCAGTGGCTTAATGATGCATGTGCAGCAGTGGCTTAGTGATGCATGTGCAACAGTGACTTAGTGATGTACGTGTTGCAGTGACTTAGTGATGCACATGCAGCAATGGCTTAGTGATGCGCGTGGAGCAGTGACTTAGTGATGCACGTGCATTATTATGTTTAGGGGAGAGTTCTAAACCCATAGAGGTAATACAGCGTTTGAGGGAATGGGCGATAATTAGGTTCGATCCTAGGAAAGGACAAGTCCCGATTCCTTGGTTTAAGAGCACCTTACCAGCATTAAGGAACCTGCCTTAATGTATATACAGATAAACATGTGCATCGCTTGTGTTGCCAGGATGCAACCTCTCGTCACTGAAGAATTAAGGCAAACCACCAAGACCCCCAACAACTCTTCAACTATCACAAAATTTAAGGAGAATTTAGACCACTTTTCAGTCGGTCCTGGACCTGTATTTCCTGGGTCATTTCGTCTGCGATTATAACATACCCAGGGAGGATTGACTGGATTGGGACAGGCTGAATTGAGATAAGTAGACGACACGAAGACGAGAGTTATGAATCAGCAACTATAAACGAAACTGTGCACGCGTAATACAGACTGAGTGACAAACTACAAGTGTCAACAGAAAAAAAAAGATTTAAAGGAAGAGGGGGGTCACATCACAGCAAATATGTATATCACTGGCCTAGAGGAACAACCGCAAGACGCCAACAGCCTATGCGAGGCTAGCAATTTTCTTAACAGAGAATGTTCTGGGTCTTAGTACACAACGTACATAAAGTCCATCTTAAAACATGCAGCATAACTTAGTCCCCGTCTGATTAATCATGTTGAAAAGCTTGAAAAGATACAAGTATTTGCAGCAAGACTAATTCTGTAAGTTACAGGACTAGAGAGGACATGAGTACAACGGAACTCGGGAATAAGGTGATGATGCAAGGCCCAGACATAAGGATATACGGAATGTTATGAAGCACTTCGTTTTCTCATTCGAAGTAGTAGGGAAGTGGTGTGAGCTGGACCTAGATGTGGTTGAGGCAAAACTAGATACCTAGTTTTATTAGCAGTTAAGAGGGAGCTCAGGTGGCCAGAGGCCAGTAATGGCGGTCGTTGGTGTTTAAGAAGCTGGGTCAGGAGCTATGACTCGACCCATGCAAACAAATCGGTGCTAACGAACACCCTTAGCCCGCCCCCGACACACACCTCCAGAAGATGGTGAGGTTTTCCCACTGCTGACCTCAGAGGCAATGAATTTGTATCCTCTCCCACTACCCCACCCCCCTCTCACCAACTACAACCACCACCCCCTTCACCTACCACCAGCAATCCCACCACCACCACCACAACCAGCACTATCACAACCGCCACCACCACCTTCGTCCTGTGACATGCCTGTAACGCTTTCGAGGGCTCTCTCAGCCCGGTCCGAGGTTACCCGGAGGTTATCAGGAGTCGCTTCTGGAGGTCACCGCTCCCCGCGACCCTGTCCCAGACCAGGTCTCCTGGTTGCAGGCCTGATCCATCAGGCTGTTGGTGTCCGCATGCCAACCTATACACTACAGCCCGACCGATCAGAAACTGATTTGAGGACCTTCTCGAGTTCCCTCGAAGACAGCCAGGGGTCTGTTGGAATCTGTTGAAGAGAGGCTGAGTATATTCTATTTCTTGAAGAGACTGGCTTTGATGTAGGCAAGACAGATTTCTTGAGGTCTGGACTGAGCATCATAAATATGCTATAACTACTGACCAGGGCTTGTAAGCTAATCAATAACATTGGAACTACCCTTCTCTTATTAGGTAAAAGAACACAAGTGCAACTATTGCGACATTTTATTGTGGCAACGTTTAGCTCTCCATGAACTTTGTCAAACAGTTACGGCTTGAGACAGCGCCTGGAGAGCGAAACGTTGCCACAGTGAAATGTCGCAATAGTTGCACTTGCGTCCTTTTACCTAACATATTGTCGATAATTTTACCAACATTATTACCCTTCCTCTTTACCTCCCATTACCAGGCTCGGTGCAACACTTAAAGGCTTCATGCTTCATCTGGAAATTAATAATCCTGTCGAGGAAGCCAGTCCTTAGTGTATCCCTCCCAAGAACACAGAGAAAAATTACTTTCTTGCAATATGCCGTTTAGTGAGATATTTTCGAGCATTCTCCTATACAGTAAGATGCATCCAATACACCCAGTACAGTAAGATACACCAAGCTTTGTTGTGACAATGTAATATATATATATATATATATATATATATATATATATATATATATATATATATATATATATATATATATATATATATATATATATATATATATATTACACGTGTGTAGAAGCAATGAAATGTTGTGGGTTCGATCTTTAAGACTGGTGCTTGCCAGGCTTACACACTACCAATAGGACCACGGATGTTCCTTTCTCTTTTCTTTTTTTTAGTTTTGGGAGGATTAGTGTGCGTGCATGCTCCGGCGTATGCGTGCGTGCGCTTGTGCGTGACAAGGAAGAAGGGTGGTGCCTGCCAAACGATGTCATAATTAAAACCAGGTGTGGCTTGTTTACTGTGTGGGTGTTGGAGGCTAGGGTGTAGGCAGTGTATGTGTGTGTGTGGTGGGGGTGTGGAGAGAAGGGAGGATGGCAGAGTGTATGTATACCTTGGCGAGCGAGGTGTGGGTGTCGCATGTGAGTGAAAGGACTGGATAATCAATGTGTTCTCAACTAACTCATTAGTTGCGTAGGATAATAAATGTGTTTTTCAACTAACCCATCGGTTACGGATGAAAATAGATTAGTTTTCAGTCCGTCCTCGACTGTTATCAAGTCGCGACTTGATAATGATCAAGGACAGACTGAAAGGTGGTATTCTTTAATCTCCAGCTGATGAATCAGTTGTGAATTGTTGCAGCTACGGTGTTGTGATTTGTTTCCTTAATGTTGACTAGGGTAGAGGTGGCTTAGCATAATGTTAGTGGATATTGCTGGGGTGTTTGGATAATGTGCTTGCAGGAGGCTGCGTATACTAGTGAGAAAATATCAGTGGGAAAAAAAATATGATCCGAAGATAAACCATACCACGGGTGGGGATAGAACCCGCGACCAGAGAGTCTCAAAACTCCGAAGATGTGGATGTAAACTCACGAAAGTGGTCAATTTTTTTTTGTCTTTATTTTCGTAAAGTGTTTCTAGTGTATGAAACTTGTATTGTATTCAGTATGCTTATACACCCTATCGTTGAGCATGCAGTTTTGTGGTTCATTTTAGATTTCGTGTGACTGTTTTAGATTTCACGTGACAGATGTTGGAGATCTAATATACTTTGCTTTCCCCGCCAGGTGGAAGAGGTGGAGTAGCGAGGTGCGGGCGGCGGGAGTGGCCCCGCCCACAGCTGTCAACAGGGATATGGGCGGTGGGCGTGGCGGGTTGAGGTAGGCAGTAGGGCAGGCAGTGTCCGCAGGGAAAGCTCCGGGGGTGAGCGGGTCCGAACACCACTGAATGGTGAACCTCCCTGCCACCACTACCACTACCTAGCAGGTGCTCACCGCCACTGCCACCACCTGTTGTCACCATATTAACACTACCACCACCTGTGCCACGTACACCACCACTTGTTCCACGTACGCCACTACTCTTCCCCACCTACACCGCCACCACTTGCCTCCTACGACCACTACCAGCTGTGATTCAGCATCATTCATATACCACCTGCGCTTGTAGCTGGTGTTTCTTAGTAACTTAACCACCTGTAGCTTAAAATCACTAATTTCTTCACTTTGGCACCTCAACATCATCTCCTGGTTCCATATACCACCTGCTGTTCCCCAGCGCCACCTGTTATCGTCTGTACCAATTGATTGCTGGCCATCTGCTCCAAAAGTGGTATCACTGGTGACTCCCACCACCACACCTGCCCTCATTGGAACCCCTGGCACTTTACACACCTGTCGTTATTACAACCCCTGGCACTTCTGCACACCTGTCGTTATTACAACCCCTGGCATTTTACACACCTGCTGTCATCGCAACACCCCTGGCACTCCTACACACCTGCCATCATTCCGACCCCTGTCACTCTTACACGCCTACCGTCATTGCAGCCCTTGGCACTCTTAACACACCTGCTTAAAAAACCTCCTGAAAGGTGACATTGAAAAAAATCAGGGAACTAGAGAGGTTAGGACAAGAAGAGAAGAGATGGTGAAGAGGGTTGTAGAGAGGCCCGCCAGCCAGCTGCACTGCTATTATTAATGCCTATGGGTGCCTTCCGGCATGCCTGACGGTGGAGGCGTTGAAGGACCCCCACAAACATGCACAACACCTTGACGACGGAGGCGCTGAAGGAGAAGGTCCCTTCCCCCTCAAACACACACACCGCCTTTTCTCTCACTCGCCTCACCCTTTCATAACCACATCATCCAAACACACACCGACTTTCTTTGACATTCCTGGGATCTCTCACAGTGTTATCAGAAAATCACAGTTTTTGTTTAATTTTTTTTCGTGTCGTTGATATATTAACGTAAGTGGAAGCGTTGAGGGTGCATCAAGGCGTGAATATAGTGTTGCGAGGGTGAATCAGACGGTGAGCATAGTGGAAGAACATTTTGAAAAGTGAGAGGAGTGTCTAAGTGAATTGTATTCAAGGAAGAGGGAGTAGCGTGTAAGACTGTGAGGAAACAAGAGTGAAATCCCTTGCCAATGGAGCCAACGATGGGATCATTAAAGTGCCATTTGGATTCCCCGCTGCACAGTGCCATCTGGATCTGCCGCCACTGGTGCCAAAGAGAGGATCATTAAGTATCATCTAGATCCCTCTCCACTGCGGCCAACGACGGTAACATTAACAGTGCCATTTGGATCACCCGCTACACTCCGGCCAACGAGGGGATCATTAACATTGCCATCTGAATTGGCCCGCCACTGTGGCCAACGAGGGAGGCATTAACAGTGCCATCTGGGAGGCTGAGCTCATCCCTCAGGCCCGGTAACTGGAGCTGCTGCTGCCATTCCCTCACCACCTTGCACGCAGCTGGTGCTCCAATACACTCTCACCCCGTCCCCTCGTCCACCGAACCTTGTCCACCGTCCATGAGGGGACTTGTCCGCCGTTGCACCGTCCACTACCACCCCTCTTATGCTACAATCACCACCACCACCTGTTAAAAGCTTAGTGACGCAGAAACGCAGCGTCATGCGTGTGAAGCACATCACTGGTACGCGTGGTATGCGACATGTTTTGACTGTGTTTTGGTGACTTCGATGTAGTGCCATGCCCGAGGGCGACTCCTCCGCATATCTAGTGCCATTCGATGTGTGTCGTCTGCAAGAGATGACGTGATGCTGCCAACGTCTGTGCCATAAAACGTCGCGATGCAATATCCTAGAAAGAATTACTTTCTGGTGCCAGTCGTCACCAAGTCTGTGTTGCTGCACACTGGATAACCAAGATTCTCATCAGGTGGAGTGGTGTCAGTCACCAACAGGTGTTTTGCGCTGGTGCCTCAATCAACCTTATACCACCGTGACTGAATGAGACTCAGTCTAGTAGCTCACAGTTCTGTCTTGGTGACCTTGTGAAGTGTATGTGCGCGCTTGGCGCTCGGGTGCCTTTGAGTTGACGCTATAAACTTTGTGAAATCTTGATACAGTTTAATTTAATATTGATGTAAATTGGGTGAGGTGTCTTTGACTTGGCAGCTAGCTCATTGACTAGATACAAGACATTTCTATTATTTGGTAGCTCTGTACAAATTAAAATAATTATATTCACACTACTAACAGTAATAATAGTAATATAATAAGCTAACGTGTTACTGTCGTTGTATATCATATAATTTGTCACGTTTGATAGCAGATGATAAGAGAGAGAGTTGATATTACAGTGAAAATGGGGAAACTTTATAGGAGGTCGGCAGGTGGTTCAGAGCCCACGTAGTGAGGTAACAATACTACTCCACTTGTACTGGGAGCGACGCCCTGCCACGCCCATACTTCCCACGCTCACTACCCACGCCTGGCCCACGTGCCCAACCCACGCCCGCACCTGTGCCAAGTTCCTCGTTTTGCGTGTGCCCCGTTAACTAGCCGAGGATCCCGCCCACTCCCGCCAGCTTCAGTAAAGTCCCATCGCCGGTTTTGTTGAAGCCCCGTCCCCTGCACTCCCACCTGCATACCTGCCCGCCCAAACACGCCCGCCCGCATGCCTGACTGCCCAAACACGCCTGCACGCATACCTAGCCGCCCACACACCCCAAGGATCTCGGGCGTACCCCTTACGCCCACATGCGAGCCTAGCTACACTGCGGCCCCACACACCCGCACGCCCACGCTTGCACGCCCACTCACCCATGGCCGCGGCTGAGTGAAAGGACGCGAGGGCCGCCCATGAAGGATGTCTGCGCCGGTGTACGGCAATGTGACAAGGTAAATAAAGTATTCCTGGTAGGATGCTGTTTCAGGATGCCCTTTGTCGAGGATCCTACAGTAAATGTGGAGAAATTTTCTCCAACCCCCGGTGGGGGCGTCGACCCCCTGTCAAAGGGGCTAAGAGTAATCCTGGTAGGCTTACTGTTGTATTATTATTGTATTGCGCTCTTGTATTGTGGTACGTCACTAATACAAGAGCGTAAATTAATGAAGATGTGTATTAATCAGGATGTTTTGGCATTTAAGTATTGCAACAAATTTACTTTTAGTTTATTAATATATTTCTATATAATAAGATAAAAAAATTGCGCCTGTGATGTTAAATATCCATTTTCACATTTTAACAGAGAATGAAAGGATGTCTTTTTTTATTAAGATGTTGAGTTAACCGAAAATTTACTGTTATTGCAAAGGGTTTAGCGCTCCCCATAATAATAATTGTTATTACTGATTCATAATTCTTCTCCTAATGCTTCCGGTGTCTTCTCTGTTTGCTGTTTTAGCTCTTTCCAGTACATGGGTGACCCTGGTCGCAAGGGAGCGGCCAGTGTTTTCGCTCTGCCGATACTAACGATGTACTTTTCTGTCATGCTAGAGACCATAGCTGGCCCATAAGCTGGTCCTCTGCTAAAACTGTCGATCCCATTTCTGGCCTCCACAAACTCCACTTCTTGACTTGGCTCTTATACGCAACATTCTTAACATGAATCTCAGTCTCTTGTCTTGTTTTCATTGATGCTTGCCTCACCCAGTACACCGTAAACTGTTTTAATCTTCAGAACACAGATTGCTTGATCTGATCACGGTTGCCTCCTCTTCTCTCGTGACATTGGCTGTCTCCAACTACTGTCATGACTTGTCTTTTGACTTACCTTTTTCTCTCTCACTCGCGACTTGATAATGATCCACAGCGGGCCGAATCGTCTGAAGTTTTCTCTCATAATTGTGGGTTAATTGTGGATAACATTTACCACGAAATAATGTGTTTAATTTGGAGGTCAAATACGATACATTAGAGGGTTAGTCAATCCAGACTTTAGTCGAACACTACCAGGTCTGCAACACTTAATGTAAAACAAAGAAAAAGAAGTAATACATAATTGAAATACGTAGTATGATTTACAGTCGATCAGTGTTATATTCTTAGTTGAAATACGTAATTTGATTTACAGTCGATCAGTGTTATATTCTTAGTTGAAATACGTAATATGATTTACAGTCGATCAGTGTTATATTCTTGAAATCCTTCCCAGAAAGTCAAGCCAGTCAGAAAAAAAAAAAGACTGGCCCAGGGGCGGCAATAATAATTTTTTTTTTTATACTTAAGAGCTTCACCAGAGGTATTTAGTCATTGTTTCAGAAGCTATTCTGAGGCAAGTAACGGCTAACAAAGCTAGAAACAGTTACAAATCAAACCACAGACAGTAACTGCTGATTCAAACAACGAGAAAGTAGTCTGTTCCAAGCTCAAGAACAGTTACAAGTATTAGCCAAAAATCTTAGAAGATGGAGTACACAAAGCAGCCAGTTATCAGGAACAATCAGGGAACTGTTATAAGTGAAGCTACAAAAGCCCTGGATTCGATCCCCAGGTAGAGAGGCACCTATGGCGAAATCTAGCGCCTTCTGTTCTTGCTCACCTAACAATAAATAGTACTTGGGTGATGGTAGACTGTTGTAGGTCGCAGCCTAGCTGGAGCCTGGCTTTAAAATGAGCTGAGGTAGAATAAGAGCTCAGCCTGTAAACAAATAAGCTGTTGCTTAAAAAAATAATAGAAGTAGGCAGTCATAGTCACAGATATCAGCTAAAAGTACATTCATATTATCACAGTCACAAGCAGTCATGTGGAGCAGTTAAAAGTTGAGCGACTGAGAATAGCCACAAGTGCAGCTACAGGGAGACAATTTTGGAATACAAAAATGGAGGCTAGCCACGTGCGGCTGAGTTGACAACAATGTCTTAATTATCTCACTGCTGCTTGTTACTTCTGTTGCTGTTGCGGCTGCGGTTGCTGCTGCTGATGTTTTGTTTTCCTGCTTGGTAATTTTAGCTTTTGACTCACTGAGGTACACACCTGAGGTACACTTTATTTTATTTTATCTATAGAGTTGTTTGTAAATGCTTAGGATAGAGTGGAAAGGAGGGGTGCTAAAAAGGTTCTTGTGGTGTTGAGAGTAAGAGAATGTTTTGTTTTGTCGAGTATCAGACCTCATTTGATTTTTTGAAGGCTAGGTTAATTTTTATTGTTTTCAAGTCTTCTGGTCCTTTGAGGCTAAGTGGGCTTTTTTTCTATTGGGGCTACCAGATCTCCTGTGGTGTTTAGGCTAAGAACTTTTACTGTCAATGAATGTAATTTAGCTCTTGTGGTTCTTAATACTGAGCTTTTGATCGTTGAGGCTTTGTCTCTGAGGAAATTAAAGTTTTAAAATTCAATAACCTTCCAAAGCAAGTAAGTCATTGGACAGTTTGGACACTTGTGTTAAGCTGGACTTTTGTAACTTTAGAGGTAAACTGACCTCTTGGGGCCTTTGAGGTAAACCGAACTTTCGGGCATTAGAGGTAAACTGGGTTCTTGGAATCTTTGAAGTGTGCTGGACTTTTGGGACCTTTAAGGTAAATTGAGCAGCTGGAATCTTTGAGGTAAGCGTGGGGCCCTTGAGGTACTTGGGACTCTTTTGGGCATTTGAAGTAAGCTGACTTTTTTGGGAGAGTTTGAAACAATGTTTGAGACATTTGAGGTAAATTAAACTTGGTATTTACAGTATGCTGGGTCTAAAAAAAAAAAAAAAAAAAAAAAAGCTGAATTCTCTAAGTCTTTGACGTGTATGCATCACGTGTGATGTTTGCAACAACTTGAATTATCGTAGTTTTAAGATTAGTGGTTTTTTTATGTATATTTTGATAAGTGAGCTGTGTTTTGGAACCTTTAAGGGTAACTGTTATCCTAGTCTTCAGAGATGTATACACAGAACTCCGCTTTAGTGTTTCCTAGACTCGCATGTGCTGTTTAAGGCTTCATAAAATGCATCCTGAAAGCTACATGAAATATGTGTATTATTGAAAACTTACAGGTTAGTAAAGTTCTCTTGTAAGCTAGGGGATATACCATGTCTTTTGGTATTTAAGGCAACCTCAAATCATATGACATTCTTGGCAATATAAACTCGCTTGTCGAAATATTTCCAATTTAGAGATGGCTGGAGGCTGTGAGGTGACACCCACACTTCATTTATTTCATTTTTCTTATTTTTGAAGTCACTTGGCACGTTGCTGGGGACCACGCCAAGCTTTTAAGTTCAGGCTTGAATGGCTGCTTATGTTGCTCCAAATAATAATTTTCACTAAACATTTCTGGCTTCGTCGCTTGATACGCATCCCTGCACGAGTTCTCTTTTCGTTACAATTAGGATTTTCTTAACTTCCTCGCATATTTCAGGGGTACTGTGTGTGTCCGGCCGTGCTGACAGACGGCGGCATTATATTGTATATACCAGAATCATCTTTACGGGTTCTGGATCTATTCGTGCCCTTTACATTATCTCTAGTGTCTCCAGCTACGACATTCACCTCTTCACTTCTGTTCACACGTCTCTGTCCATGCATTCCCTCTCTCTCCCTAACTGCAGCAGGTCTACTGTCCCATATAGGGCAGGTCCTTATCAAAACCACCCATGTATTTGTCCATCCTTTCCCCAAAGCTACCCAAGAATTTACTCCGGTACACTAAACGCCAGTCAACCCCTACCTCTCCCACTCGTATATTTGCCCAATCTATTTTTTAAGATGCCCAAGGTCCTATCCTCGGTTACCCTACTCGTAAAGTTGTTCCACTTGATTCGATATCCTTAGTATTTTTTATTAATATCGCCTCTCCTAAGCGTGAGTTTTGGTGAAGACTCCCAGCCTGCTAGTTTAGAAGTGGAATGCTTTTCCTCAGGTGCGCAACTCTTTATTTTTGACCAGAAACTACTCTATTTTGGAGCCTCTTTCCTTCTCGCTCTTCCTCGTTCAAACTCTCCACCTGCCTGTACTCCAAACACTTCACTTGTTTTCCACCTCTCTTTTTACACCTTTGTCCTCTCTGTCTTTTCCTTACCACAGTCTGCCAGCCACCTCTGTGGCCTACCCCACTCCTCTTCTACCTTCACCCATACTCTTTTCCCCTTTCCCTTCTCTCTGGACATCTCTTTGCTTCCGCCAAATTGTAAACAAAATTTCTGGTAAGTGGATGGTTGGAGTAAGGATGAAGGGCAAGCCCCTTGTACCTGGGTCCATCTTCATCCCGGGTGTAGCTTCCACCAGGATACATCAACCACCCGGGTACATCTTCCACCAGAGTACACCTTCTACCCACCCCTTCTTTCCCCACTAACCTAATCTCATCCTCCCCTAACCAAATCCCATCCTCCCCTAGCGTGGCTTGTTCTGCACACCTTGAGGTGTATTAATGTTCGTAGAACTACCGACAATATGTTAAGTAAAAGGTCACAAGTGCAACTAATGTGACATTTTATTGAGGCAACGTTTCACTCTCCAGGAGCTTTATCAAACTGTTACGGCTTGATAAGGTGCCTAGAAGTGTGCAGAACAAGCCATATGGGGATGGAAGTCTTTAGCTCTAGATTTTTCGTACTCGTGCGTCGTCAAGAGCTATGCAGTGTTGCAAGACAACAAATAAGGGAAATTCTGAGGCAAGGCAGAAGGTATCAGTGGCGGCCCAGTGGGCCGCCACTGATACCTTCTGCCTTGCCGTAGAGAATTTCCCCTCCTAATTGTTGCTGTCTTGCAATATTGTACAACTCCTGACGACGCACGAGAGTGCGAAAGATCTAGAGCTAAAGATTTCCGTCCCCTTGTGGCTTATTCTGCATTGTTAAGATTGTTGAGATCGTTTGCGATTGTATGTACACCTACAGTTGTATATACACGGTGGTGTAATCCCTTTTTAGGGGATTTAAAGTATTCTTGATTATTGGTGAGCAATGGAATAAGTCTT